TATATATATATATATATATATATATATATCACTATTATGTAAATTTTATATGCAAGGTATTTGATAAATATTAAATTTGTAATATATATTTTAGTTATCTACAATCTAGTGGTCAATTTAATTTTAGCAACTTAGAGGGTTGGGTCTAGTTGAATCATCTACTTATATCATAGTTGATTCAGGTTAAGTGCATAACTAGTTCAAGTTTAATAACATTGCTTGAATATGTAGTACAATGATTTATTTAAAAAATAATAATAAAATAATGAAATCCAAATTTACAAAAACTTGAAGGTAGGAGATTATTATTATCTTAATTGTGTGTTATTTTGGTCTAGAAAATGTTTAGAGATAATCTAGTCACTTAATCGAAAACAGAACATTCAAGAGTGTATCTTATCTATATTTGTCCTAAGGTTAAGATTTTATACTTGATTATAATGACTTTATGGACTATAAGAATTTTGGGATTTTATAGGATCTTTACTCATTATGTCTGTGAGGGTATACTTGTTACTCGACGTTATTGGGAGAAACAGAAGTCTCACATCAATTAGAAATAAGACAATTAAAAAGTATAGAAGTGTAGAATAACCCTCACTTTATAAATCGATTTTGTAGGATTGAGTTAGGTTCATACCCGTTACTTAAAATGATATCAGAACTATTTAGACCACTCTAAATGAGTCACCTACCATCAGTACACACACTAAGCCCAAGAATACTAGGCATGAAGGGGTGTATTGGGAAAACTCAAGTCTTGTCTATCCTAGATCATTAAAATGAAAGGGTCACCCACTATTTATCCACGTATTAAGTCCAATAATGTTGGACATGAAGGAGTGTATTGAAAAAAATTCAAGTCTCATATCAATTAGAAATAAGACAATTAGAAAGTATATAAGTGGGGGATAACCCTCATCTTCCTAGCCAATTTTGTAGGATTGAGTTAGGCTTAAACCCACTATCTAAGAGACGTGAGCCTATTAGCAAATATTGGGTGAGTACACTTGTTCACAAGCCTTGAGCTTGAAAGGCGTGAAGTGAATGTTAGGTAACAAGAAAGGTGAGGTTGAATTATTATGTTTCTTAAACATCTATTCTTTAAGAAAAAATGTTCCTTAATAGATCATTCTTTTGAGTTTTCTAAAACTTAGTTTATTTCAAAACCTTCTTCTAAGTAGTTTTAGAGAAAATCTATTCTTCAGAAAATGAGTCTTCTAAGTATCTAAAACACAATTTTTTTTAATAAAAACTCCCTCAATGTAGTTTTTAAAAAAACACAAATTATGAAATTTATATATAGAATGTAAAGAAACAACTATAACAAGTAAAAGAGAGAGTAAAGGAGATTGTAAATCGTAATTTATACTAGTTCACTCCTAATCTTGGGCTACATCCAGTCTTGTGATATTTTCTACTATTTTAGCAACTCTTGTTTAGTTTACACCACCATCCCTATGTTGGGACAAGTGCCACACTACACAGCCACCTGATGTTAGTATTCCAAAGTTAACTACTTGCTAAGATTTCTTCCTCAACTACCTATTGAGATTCCAACACTCACAATTACCTATTATGAGTTTACACAACCAACTAGTTGAAGCTTTTTACTCCTTCCTACACCCTTGAACACTAGATCTGGGTAGGGAAGGTTTTTTTTTTTTAATTTTTTTTTACAGAAAAAAAAATTTGTGTATCCTAGCTCAATAAACTATGGTTACAACAGATTCTCCTAACCAAGAGCTTCCATTAGGGAAGTTTCACACTTCATTTTTATATTACAAGAGTGTTTACAGTATGTAGAAATGGAGATCTTTGAAAATAGAATATGAATCAAGAATTACAACTATAGAAGCTTATATTTTGATTATTGTCTTTGATCTTGCCTACTTCAAAACTATAGCCTTGATCTTCCTTTTATAGCCTTTGGAATATGATCGTTATGTGTAACTTAGTTTTTAAGCAATGTTGACATCAACTTGTACTTTCATCAGTGTTGTCAGCAAATTCAGCAAAAACACTTATCTTTTGAAGCTTCCTTCTAAACATTCTTTTGTGCAACCTTTTAAACAGAGTCTTTAGTACTAGCTAGTCTTTTAAGAAGTTGAGTTTGAACTAAAGCTTCCTGATGAAAGGTTCAAAGAATTGGACCTTTGAACTAAGTCTTCAAGGCATCTTACTTGAGAGAAAATGTCCAACTTGAACTCCTTTGACCAGTAGTCTTTTAAGCTTCTAAGTACTAATCAAAGTAAATCTGAATACTTGAACAGATCTATTAGTACTCCACATAAATACTCTTCATGGTTAAAACTTGAAACTAAGAGTTTGTCATTATTAAAACATATGTTAAGATAAGATTCAACAATCTCCCCTTTTTGATAATGACAAAACTTAGTTACAAATTTTAGAAAGAGTTTATACCTTTTTCATTTTTCAGTTTATTTTGAGTTTCTTAAATTCATTCCATATATTTTGAACTACTCAAATTAGACATGTTATATAGATTCATTATTATGAGTCTAGGAAGTAGACACAATTTTTACTTTACTTGTATTTTAGATTGATTATCATATTCATTATTTTCCACTTAGATTCATTTACATACAATGCTTTTCAATCTATCATTTCCATGCTTTACTTATCAATTAGATTTCATGCTCCCCTTTAATCTAGCAATTTGTGTATTGATATGCTCTTCCTCAATATGTGCATTTTTCAATTTCATAACATAATCATGCAATAATTTATATAGATAAATTAGTTAGCACAAATATAAGAGCAACCAAATACCAGATATGGGAATAACCATAGGCATCATATATTCAACAACATATGATAGAATTCATTATGCATCGATAGCAAAAATTGAATACATAGTGCAATTAAATAGTTGTCAATATTATACTTATCCCAAATAACTATAATTGAAAAAAAAATATTTTCTAATTTTGTTAAATTAAACATTTTGAATGTTTTCAATCACTACAAAATAAGTATATATTGCCAAAAGCTTTTTTAAAAGCAATAAAAGATTAGCAAATATAACTTTGGTCAAACATAAAAATATCTCTTCCAGGCAGACAAATACTAAAAAAGAAAGAAAAAAAAAAGAATTTATGGCCAATAACATAATTCTTGTTACATAACACCCCGAAATATATTATATTAACACACATCAATGACTTACCAATTTAAGCTTAGAAAATAAAAGCTCCAATATGTCTAAAATGATCTAAGCTTATGAGAAAAAGTATCTAAAATAAATTTATAAGCAGGACACATATAAATGAAATATATTATTTTACTCTTTAGGGGAATACAGATTCAATATTTTCTTCCCTTATTTTTTATTAAAGTCGATGGTGGATCCTCAACGGACAGTGTGAATTTATTAGTTCTATCATTTTCACTAATAAAAAGAGTACATGGAAGAATACATTTAAGAAAAAAAATGCATTTTGGTTTTGTCAAAATAGACATTTTCCAGTGGTTGGGAAAACAAAAATGCATTTTCTAGTTTTGTTAAATTAAACATTTTGAATATTTTCAACTGCCACAAAATCAACTCGTGGGAGATCATTTTTAATTGCTTTTATTATATGAGAGAATTTTTAGAAATTTTTTTAACTTGTTATATAATCTTGTTTTTATTTATTATATTTTTTAAAATTAAATATTAATATTTTAAAATAAATTATTTATGAATAAAAATAATAATGTGTTTCAATATAA